GGGAAAAGATGGCTTCCTCCAGCAGAAGAGATGAAGCAGCTCTCTGGCCCTGCTAGAGCTCGAATGGTGCTGCAGCTGCAGTTGTCCCTCCTCGGAGGAAGCAGCTACATCCACTGTGGCGGAGATCTCTCGGGGGTTGACTTGTGTGGAACCGGGAAACGATGGCTTCCTCCAGCAGAAAAGATGAAGCAGCTCTCTGGCCCTGTTAGTTCTCGTCTTCCACCAAAATAAATAGGACAGCTCTGCAACGAGAGCCAAGAACAAGCAACCTGAGATTAGGCTCAAAGCAATGCCCTGACCGGTCAAAGATCGCATTTTTTAGTCAGAACGACATGCCCAGGGTCAAATATCGATTGAAGAGTTGACCTTCTACGAAACCTGAAGCCAAACAGTACCAAGAATCTAAGAAACCAGAAGGAAAGGCGAGTGTATTATGAAGAAAGAACAGCAAGATACGAGTGCAAACTTACAGAAGCTACCCATCCTTGAAACCAATGCAAAGCAAAAACCAAGGAGACAATTTATAGGGGAGAAAGGAACTGATTGATCACCTGAGGAACATTAAATCTGGCAAGAAGACGACACCTCTGCCATCGAAACCACAATGTGAGGCCAACCGGACACGATCAATGATAAAGCTTGCATCTGCAACAATCGAATCGCAAAGATCCAAGCGATAGCCTCCTCGATCACTAGAAACCAACGCATCCAACAAGCAATCCATCGCAAAAGGTCGAGCACTTGTTGACACAGAGGTCACATGCTTGCAGGAGACATACAACTCAATAGTAGCACAGATTGCACACATCGTGCGATAACAAGCAACAACAATCACTGTCGTGTTCCATCTTCTGTCAACAAAAGTAGCTTATCACAGGAGACGAGCAGAGAGAGAGAGAGAGAGAGACTTGCATTTAACCAGGGCAGAAGAAAAGTGATAGCAAAACAACCAAGGACAGTAACCAAGACGCCAATTACTTTCGAACAAGAACGAATTAATCGACCTCCTCAATCTTTGGCCCCGCGCTGCTTCCACCAGTAGTTGGACCGTCTTCATCCATGCCACCAGCCATGTCGGCACCAGCACCCTGATACATCTTAGCAATGATGGGGTTGCAGATGCCCTCAAGCTCCTTCATCTTGTCTTCGAACTCATCAGCCTCCGCCAGCTGGTTCCCGTCCAACCAGCTGATGGCCTTCTCGATGGCATCCTCGATCTTCTTCTTGTCGGCGGCAGGGAGCTTGGCGGCGATCTTCTCGTCCTTTATAGTGTTCCTCATGTTGTACGCGTAGTTCTCCAGCGCATTTTTCGCCTCAACCTTCTTCTTGTGATCCTCATCCTCGGCCTTGTACTTCTCAGCCTCCTGCACCATCTTCTCGATCTCTTCCTTGCTCAGCCTGCCCTTGTCGTTCGTGATTGTGATCTTGTTCTTCTGCCCGGTAGTCTTGTCCTCGGCCGAGACGTTTAGGATGCCATTGGCATCGATGTCGAAGCAAACGGTGATCTGTGGTACACCTCGGGGGGCAGGAGGGATGCCGGAGAGCTCGAATTTACCGAGGAGGTTGTTGTCCTTCGTCCGGGCCCTCTCACCCTCGTAGACCTGAATCAAGACACCAGGCTGGTTGTCGGAGTACGTAGAGAAGACTTGCTCCTTCTTGGTCGGGATGGTGGTGTTCCTCGGAATCAGGACGGTCATAACTCCACCGGCAGTCTCCAAGCCAAGAGACAGAGGCGTGACATCAAGCAGAAGCAAGTCCTGGACTTTCTCGTTGCCCTCGCCGCTCAAGATAGCAGCTTGAACTGCAGCACCGTAGGCGACAGCCTCATCTGGGTTGATGCTCTTGCAGAGTTCCTTGCCGTTGAAGAAATCCTGCAGAAGCTGCTGAACTCTGGGAATCCTCGTCGACCCACCGACGAGGACGACATCATGGACGCTGCTCTTGTCCATCTTCGCATCCCTCAAACACTTCTCCACCGGCTCCATGCACTTTCTGAAGAGGTCCATGTTGAGCTCCTCAAATCGGGCGCGCGTGATGGTGGAATAGAAATCAATACCCTCGAACAGCGAATCGATCTCGATGGTGGTCTGGGCGGTGGAGGAGAGGGTTCTCTTGGCCCTCTCGCAGGCGGTTCTAAGCCTCCTAAGAGCCCTCGGATTACCACTGATGTCCTTCTTATGCTTCCTCTTAAACTCCTGGACGAAGTGGTTCACCATCCTATTGTCAAAATCTTCTCCGCCGAGGTGCGTGTCACCGGCGGTTGCCTTCACCTCGAATATACCCTCTTCGATGGTGAGGAGAGAGACATCGAAAGTACCCCCACCGAGATCGAAGATAAGCACGTTCTTCTCGCCAGAGCTGCTGGCCTTCTTGTCAAGACCGTAGGCAATGGCAGCGGCAGTGGGCTCGTTGATGATTCGCATGACGTTGAGGCCGGAGATGACTCCAGCATCCTTGGTGGCCTGCCTCTGCGAGTCGTTGAAATAGGCAGGGACGGTGACGACGGCATTCTTCACCGTAGTCCCGAGATAGGCTTCTGCAATCTCCTTCATCTTGATGAGGACCATGGAGGAGATCTCCTCCGCCGAGAACTGCTTCTCCTCGCCCTTGTACTGGACGACGATCATGGGCTTGTCTCCGGGACCGGCGATCACCTTGAAAGGCCACAGCTTGATGTCGCTCTGGACGGAGGGGTCACTGTAACGCCTCCCAATCAATCGCTTGGCATCTGTCGAAACATATCAAACGGCAAAACCAAATCCTCGTTATAACATCAGCAAACCGAACGGTTGTATGCGATTGCAATTTTGGCAATCCCATGAATTTAATCTGACGCAAAATATATTGAAAGATGTTCTTCAGCAGACGGTGACCAAATTATATTATAAAGGCGTGAACTTCAACAATAATCAAAGAGTATCGTCCTGAACGCCCTACCGAGGATAAAAATTTAATCTTGATGAACACACTAGAAGCGGAACAAGTAATTTTTTTTCCCTGAAACATTACCTTCAAATAAAAAAGGGTTCTCGCAAGAAGATGCCTATCGCAAATTTATCATGTCAGCACAAATCACAGCTCGAACTAAAAGAAAGTAATTCCAAAATCCGATCGATCATTAATTCCAACCAATTGACAAGGAGAAATTCGAAATAAGACAATAATTATTCCTTAAAGCATGTGTCAGCTGCCCACATCCTACGACGACCAAAAGACGATACAACGAACCAACCAAAATAAGGGCGAGAAAGAGAAGGAATGTTAGATTGGAGACTTGGGCTTACCGAAGACGGTGTTGATGGGGTTCATGGCGACCTGATTCTTGGCAGCGTCGCCGATGAGCCGCTCGGTGTCAGTGAAGGCGACATAGGAGGGGGTGGTGCGGTTGCCCTGGTCGTTGGCGATGATCTCCACCCTATCGTGTTGCCACACCCCCACGCACGAGTAAGTTGTCCCCAGATCGATCCCGATCGCCGGACCCTCGCCCTTGCCGCCGGCCATCACTGCTCAAACCAAAAGTCGAGAGCTTTTCGAGACAGAAAGAGAGAGAGAGAGAGAGAGAGAGAGAGAGAGAGAGAGAGAGAGAGAGAGCGCGTTCCTTGATTTTTTTCGCTCGAGCTAAAAGAAGGCAAATGCTACGACGAGGCCGGAGGAGGATGGGGTCGTCGGGGTTATATGGTTTTCGCCAGGCGGGTTCTGGAATGTTCCCGTGGTAATCAGTGGCCGTTGGATGAGTCGATCGGGCCCCTCAGGTTTGTTCCAGAATCCTCCTGTTCTTTCTACTCTTTTCTCTTCCTTTCCTTCAATTCTCATTGGGTCGGTAATTGGTCGGCTGTGTGTGCGCCAACCAATCCCATTAAATCCAATGTCATGGGTAAGCCACGTTCCCCATTGGATGCAGCTTTGGGCCTATAAACAAGTAGGCCTTAGCCCAACCCAATTCACTCCAATAACCCTTCACCCACTGTTCATTTAATAGCCCTGAGACCCAATATTTTCGATCTATAACATATATTAATAAAATATATTATTTTTTATATATAAATGTAATTATATTAATAAGGAGGAACATAATGTTGTTGTTGATGATAAAGAGGAACATAATGTCGATCGTATAACAATATCATTGGGTAACTCATAGTAGTTGCCCACCTTGCAGTCGTCGGTGGTGGCCTCCTGCACGCTGCCATGACCCCACATCCGGCCGGTCCGATCCCATTCAAACGCGACTCCAACAAAAGCTGGGAATGGGAAGGGGACGGGAACCGTTGCCGGGGCGGCAGAGGCCGCAGCGGAAGGCTCGAGAAAATTCTAGAAAGAGGACGGCTGTGGCCGTTACTGGGTTCAGCTGCTGCGGTTCTCGGGAGACTTATCCGAGTCTTCAAGATTTACGATGATTGCTTGGGTTATCAAGAATTGATGTCGCTAATGGGATTCAAATCCTAATTAAGATGGTTTGTTCTTGTAATTAACTGCGGCCAGCGTGAAGCCAGATCAGAATTACTCATTTTTGGCTTAGTATTCAATATATATTATTTGCTCTTTTTCCATCAATCATGACAAGTATAATAAAGAAAGCAACTGAGCGAGCGTCGTTGCATCTGTTATCACTGCCCGGATTGTGTGCGAAGATTAGAGCAGAAATATGACGGATCGCGAGAGCTAAACCAATCGACCGAGTGGGGCCCGTAGAAAGGCCAACCGGAAGCCCAAGTTTGCAGTTTGGCGATTCGGCCAGGACAGTAATCTCGATCGGCGCACCAATATATGTATATTTATATATATAATATTTATAGGGAAAGTAAAGTTGCATTAAAAATTCCTCTTATTTCACCCAAATTCCCCTCTCTCGCCCTCTCGCTGTCGCCTCGCTCGCCTCCGCCGACGCCGTATAAATAACCGGGCTTGTCGTTTCTGAGTCCCGCATCTCGCCTTCGCGTCTCTCCCACGCCATCGCGGGATCGGAAGGTGGGGGAGTCTATACGACGCTCCTTGTCGATGGCGGCAGCGAGCCAAGCGAGCCTTCTACTCCAAAAGCAGCTCAGAGGTATGGATCGGGACGCTTCCCGGATAGATTCGTCGTCTAGGGTTTTGATCGAGAGCTTTCTTTCGCGATTGGTTTGATCTTGGTGTTTCTTGGATCAGATCTTATGAAGAATCCGGTGGATGGCTTCTCTGCCGGGTTGGTGGACGATAGCAACGTCTTCGAGTGGAGCGTGACCATCATCGGGCCGCCCGATACTCTGTAGTGAGTGATTCCTCCCTGCGTCGAATAATTGTGGATCTTTCTCGCCTTTTTCATTTTCTTGATACGATGGGTTTTTCTTGGAGAATTTTGTTTGCGATCGGATGAGTTTACTGCCTCCGTGGTTATCGACGGGTAGGGTTCCTTGTGATTCTTGCGCACGGGAGTGGTCTTAGTGAGTGATTCCTTCCTGCGTCGAATAATTGTGGTTCGTTCTCCTTGTTTAGACTTTCTTGGTACGATAGGTTTTTCTTGGAGAATTGTGTTTGCGATCGGATGAGTTTACTGCGGTCGTGGTTATCTACGGGTAGGGTTCCATGCGATTCTTGCGCACAGGAGTGGTCCTATGAAATCCTTCGGGCTATGGGCTTGGTGTAATTTGGAAATTAAGGTTAGGTTTTCATTTCTTAGACTTGATTTGGGATCGGGAATCTCGGAGAATCGGAATGTGTAGCTCCCAAATTGATTGACAATGATTTCTGTTTTACCACGTTGTGCAGGATAATTTGATGGATCATGTTTCTGTCTGGACAGACACAATAAGGGCATTGCTAAAATTCATTATGTCAGTCATTGGTAGAAAACGAAAGTAGTGCTTCTTCAAACACAAATTAGTTGCGCTTGTTGCTAAGACTAGTAGAAAGGACGGCTCCAAATTCTAAACAGGAAATCTACATCCACACCAGTGGAGTGAAAACAACTGTCATTAGCGATCGGTTAGAGATGTAGAGAAAGTTGTTATGGCCTTAATATCTAATGAAGTTGCGAAGAAAACAGGAACCTCCTCTTAAATGCAACATAACAACAGAGAACCACTAAAGCTCGAGAGATATGGAAGATAGCCTTGGATGAGCGTAACTACTAGCCTTGTGAAATCCAGAAAGGCATCACGAGAGCTTATACTTTATTTTAATGCTATGCTAGATTATATGCACTTGTTAGTTTTTCTTCTTTTAATACACGAGATTGTTGTTCTGTGATGTTTGTTAAAAAAGCTCAATTGTGTTGTGGTATATAACTTAGTTGAAGCAAAAAACTGATGAGAAGAAAATAATTTGATTGTAAATGAATTTGTTGGGATTTGCTTCAAGCAACTTCTCCACTGGATTCTGTAGTTAATCTGTCAAACTTATTCAGTTGCCTTTTCTGTAGTGTCGCTGATGAAAACATATTTGGACTCCTTTTTTCTAAAAAAAAAAAGCTTCACACTGCAAAGTTACAATCAAAGTTACAATCAAGCTATGGCTCCGACAATATTCGTTTTGGTAATTTTGAATGGTGTCAATCATGTTGCAGCGATGGTGGTTACTTCAATGCAATAATGAGCTTTCCTTCCAACTATCCCAACAGCCCTCCAACTGTTCGATTTACATCAGAAATGTGGCACCCAAATGGTTAGTGGTAGCTAATTCTTGTTTATTGGATCTGTGCCTTGCCTTCCCGCTATATGCAATTAATACACAACGTATTTTTCTCATTGAACCACAGTTTACCCGGACGGACGTGTTTGCATATCAATACTCCATCCACCTGGTGATGATCCAAATGGTTATGAACTAGCAAGTGAGCGCTGGATGCCGGTACACACGGTATGTTCTCTCCCTTTTTTGGGGAAAATGGGGTCGACAGTGGTTTACCTTTTGAGGCCTATGATGTGTCACTGTTTGTGCTTCTTGTTGCCATTTTTAATTGGTGGATTGCCTTCAAAATTTTGTTGATTGGTTGTCATTTATTATTACTTGAAAATTCGTGCTTAACAAAGCATGGCATCGGTGCTAGTAATCCTGACTTTGCTGATAATATGAATGTCAATGCTTCTGATTTTTCCTTCATTGGTAAATATTTTGTGCCTTCTTAAAAGAAAGGAAAATAAAACAAAAGAAAACGAAGGTGTGAGTCCTGGGGGGGTGTTAGGATTTGGTTTTTTTCGACAGACAGTAGGAAAAGAAAAGGGGTTGTTGACTTCCTAGAAACCTTTAAATTTTTGATAAACTTGTGAAATATCTTGTATTTTAGCTACTAATTTAAACTGCTAAGCTTTATTGATGTTCTCCTTGGTCAATACCCTGCCATTTTCACAACTAGCCAGTGTGTTATGGTTGTAGGAGGGTGAGCCTTAGTGTCATGGCAAGGCTTCCGCTTTAGATCAAGTTTTATAATACAAACAACCTACTCACTGGGTAAGGTTTCATGTGTTAAACCTAAACAAAATATCTACCATGGAAAACTTTTTTCGCCCTTGATTATGTAAAATGTCACTTGTTTTTGGGGGCTTCGTTATGATTCTTTATGGACAATGCCTTCCAACTCTTCATTGGGGTGTCATAGTGCTGGTGGACGTAGTTAGGGACCTGAGATACTTAAAATATAATGATTGTTTTATTAAATATAAATGCGAAGCTTATCTGCTAAAATTCCTTGTCCACTAAAATGTGGACAGTAAACTTCTGTTTCCATCTCCACCAAAATCTTTTTCTTTTCTTTTTTTGCAATATAGACTAAATATTAGTAAAATCAACATCTTCTTGACATATGGTGGCAAAATTCAGGGTCTTCATTTTACTGGTTGTCATATCGAAATTGACATCTGAAACTCTAGGCTGCCATCTGTACCCAATAGTTTCAATGGAGCAGAGAATTGGATCCCTTACAACCATCACTTACGTGTAGAGTAACCAATGGGTCACACTAAAAGTTACAGATACTTTTAAGTGTGATGATTAATGTTTAATAGTGTGTTGCCCTTACTGCCAGAGTTTCTATTTGCTTGTGGAGTCACTTTCTTTTTTGTTTGTCTTTTACATGGTAAGGTGAGGCAAATCAAATGCTTTTTGAGGATAGAAACTGTATGTCTTCCTATTTTGCAAATAACTTGATCATGAAATTCATCAAGTATGCTTGGGTTACAAGTTTAGAATTTACACTAATGGTGCAGCTCTGATTTTTATACTGAAAAAAAGATATTGTAGGCTACTTCTCTTGTGAATTTTTAGCCATCCAACTTTCTGCTTGTGATATCATTGATCCACAAACAATCTGCATCCGACATCTTTTCCAACTAGAATATTAAATCATTTCAAACTGAAACAGTGCCTTCATATGTGCAGGTCGAGAGCATTGTTCTTAGTATTATTTCCATGCTTTCAAGTCCTAACGATGAATCTCCTGCAAATGTTGAAGCTGCTGTAAGTAAAAAATATGAAACTTTTTTTTTTACCACTATTTTGTTTTTGTACTCAACGCTCTTTAGATAATTTAGAATTACTTTAAGAAGATGATCAGTTTGAAAGGAAAAGAAATATGGCAATTTAACTATTTAGTTAGCATTATGAATTTAACTTGCCTTCTCACTTGAGGAAAATATTTTACACAATTAGGGGTTTGCATTTTGTCACAGTCATTTTTTTTTTATATACATTATATCTAAGCCTATGGTTGAAGGTGAAGTCTCATGAGAGAGAGCTCTTCATGAGACACATGTCTTTTAGTACTTAGAATTATGAATTTGGAACGCTCATGCTCTTTTGCATGTTTTGGAGTTAGGCTTAAATTGGACAGTTTCAAACATTGTATAACTAGTACATGAACCATATCTATGTTTGCATATTAGAGCTACTGAATTTTACCAATGTTGGATGTCCACTCCGTATGCCTGTTTCCTTTACTTCCTTACCTATGCCTTTCTGTAGGGCTACTAAAAATTATTCCTAATAGAGAATAAGTCAATCCAAGCATCATTGTGATTAATTTGTTTGGATGTACTCAAATTTGCTTCCACATATTTGTTATGTGAAAAGCAACCATGGCATCATACTCTGTGCTGTTGATGAAATTGGTGAAATCAATTTACGTAGGTCTTATTTGAATCTTACTTCATTGGTCCATACATTTCTAATCAGCTTAAGGTGGTCATGATCAAAATAAAATATTGTCTATATGCATGCTTCAAAAAGAAAAAGAAAAGTCACTGTCTTCATCCAGTATGCATCTGTGTTGCATGTTAATTTAATTTTTAAACCTAGACTATTTACCTTGTAATGTCTGCTTTGTTATAAGAGGTGGATTGCAACTTCACAAAAGATGCATCTTTTTGTTTGTTCAATTAATTTCATGAGGTTAATTTGTTATGTATTTGTATCAAGAAGTACTTGAATGTCAAGAGTTTTCTGTTTTCATAGCACAGTGTAGCACGTCATTAATTGAAATGCAAATTATAGTGGGCAGAGAAAATAATCGAGGGAAAGAAGACTCAGGATTTCACCCATCTAAACCTAAATGTATTATTTGATTCCATGAGAGAATATTTTACTATTAAAAATTGGTTGATCACTTATGCTTATGATAGTACATACGACATACAACCTTTGTGTAAGAAAGAAAAGGCTAGGTTATAGAGGAATTTCTGATGATTTTTCTGACACGTTCTTTCATGTGGAGTGAAGTGTTTCGTCAGCTTGTTTCAGTTCAAATTGTGGAATTCAAACACTTTTAATAATGTACTTATCTGTTATTTCTCATTTTTATAAATTTGCAAAAAACAAAGTATTTTTTAAGGGGCTGTCTGAACTTGAAGGCATTGGAACTTGATCTGATTTAAAATGCACTAATCAAATTGCAGAAGGAATGGAGAGACAGTAGGGATGAATTCAAGAAGAAGGTCAGCCGCATTGTCAGACGATCTCAAGAAATGCTGTGAGAGATCAGCCAGTGATCGATTGAAACCACGAAGGAGATCGGTTGCGTGTCAGCAACACGTTTTCGAGAAAGTATTTATGGTGTGTGGCGAGGGGATCTATCTGGCATATCCTTCACAACTGGTGTTGATTTTCGGTGGTATGATGGTCTCCTTTGATCCTAGAAAAGATCTGGTAATGTTCTTGAGGTGGTTGTGTCAGTTTGTCATGCATTCCAATGTTTTCCTAATGTTCGGCGACACTCGTAACTGTTATAAGCATCTTTACTTTCTAAAACGATTTAGGTGTTATTGCTTCCAGATTTTTCTCTGAATTGAGTTTAGTTTTCTGAAGTTTCATACTGAATTAGATTGGCCACATTGTTTAGCAATAAGCACTGCATCGTTTCTGTAACAGTGTGGTGGATGACTAACAAAGCACTGACTTTGTGAATTTGTTTGTTGTTGGAATGTCTTGAGAGATTTGACGTTTGACTATCGATGTGATCAAAGATGAGACGATTATGTTATGTGATATCATCCTCCTCACGCTACGATAATGGAAGAGGAGAGATGAAGCCTTGGATTTCCGCGCTGGTTCTTTTTATCGATCCCATTCTCTCTTTCGGTGATCTTAGCGCCGGTTCTGTTCACTGTGAATGCCATCGTGGCTGTCTGTTCCCCCTCCCCGAGATGTAGGTGGATCCCGCCGAACCTCCACGGAGCCACCCTCCTGCCGTAGCCCATGCACCTCTGGTTCGACTTCACCCACGACTCTTCTCTCCCTACAACTAATCCATCTTCCGATCCGCGCCTCTCTCTCGATAACGGACGTCAGAACACGCGCAGCTGTACGCCTACCTGGCGCTCCGGGGTAGCGTGGCGGGGGCTGAGTGAGTGCGTCGCGGCCAAGCCGGCCACGTCCATCTGGGTGGAGCCACACACATCCATCGCCCTAGGCTACGCCGGCATCGCATTTCTCGCCTTCTGGCCGCCGTTTCCGGTTTCCGCGTCGCCTCGTACGTCCTCAGCCTCTCCCGCTTCCCTCTCTATCGAAAACGGGCCGGACTGCCTTCATCCGCCCACCTCTTAGCCCGTAGCACTTCCCCGTCGCTGGTGTCGTGCCGCAGCCGACAAATCCGTCCCGTAACAGGTGGGTCGGGAGGACAGGCTTTTCCTAGTGAGATGGGTGGCTTGGAAGCCATGGTGGCCGACACCGTGTCCGAATGCCTCTGATCGTCGCAGTTCTTGCTCGTTCCCAACTTTCCTTTTAATTATTATTATCATTTAATTATCTCGATCTGTGCCTCTGCCGAGCCACGAATGTAAAATTATTTATTGGTTCTCACTTTCGGATCCCACTAACGCTGATTGCTATCTTCGTCAGCATATGTCATTATATATATATATATATATATATATATATATATCCATGATCACCTTTGAGATGGATGATCAGCGCAAGCTGATCCATGCCCAAACTGTGCGAACTAATGTTGTCCTTGATAACGACAACTTGCAATGTGATGATGAAGAAAGCCTCCCAACTGCACAACGGTGTTGAGTCAATAACTCCAAAGTAGATCATGAGGAATGGAGAGAGAAAAAAAAAAAATCAATCTGGTTAAGGAGATATTAACCTGATGTGGCTACCATAACGGTTTTTTGTCGCGGATGAGAGCAAATATTCCCTATATGTCAGTGTACATGAAGTAAAAACTTCATACGAAATAGTAAATTTGTCAGTGTATCAGCGATTGGAGCATGAGTTTTGAAGAAGGGCAAGTAAAATGCCAGTCATGCGGGACACTTACAAGACAGGCGCGCGACACGCATTAACCAAAAGAGACGCCCGTTCTCCGCTCAATGTTGTTCTCCTCGTAGACAAAACTGGGTTAATGACGCGATCGCATCGACTAAACAGAACAGAAACAAAATAGATCATCGGGTATAGAAATATGATCAGTTCTCAAGCTCATAAATATTAGCAAATCCAAGATAAAGATCCATACCCGAATTTTCTTTGATGGGTTGGAGCCGAGATTTCATTCTTGAGACCGATCGTTCGGTTTCTTGATACTTGATTCATCGACCAAGTTCCGCCGGGATGGATCGTCCCGTTTCTTGGCTGCCAACTTCAACCATCAAGTTATCGCACCTCGGGCAACTTCTTGAATCGATTTCTTGAACCACAAGGTACTCCAGCAATCACGAAATGGTCTTGATGCTGCAGATCTTTGGTGTAATCAGATCACAACCTTGAAATCAACACCGAGGAATTATTTGGTTAATCCCAAACTATTCTTTATCTTCTTCTCTTTCCTCCGAAAGAGTTTGTTCATGAAATGTTCCTTGCGCTCGAAGAGATTGCCAAATCCCTGCGACATAGAAAGCAACAGAGGAATGAAGTTTATGATTCATGATAATAGTCCGGTTGTGATGCAAAAAAGAGGGCCGATCAACACATTCAACACGAGAGAACGAGTACAAACAAATCAAACTGTTCGATTGAATCCTGGATCTCGAATCCTGGACAAGAACCCGAATCAGACGAATTAAAGCACATCCGATCTGAAAACGAAGATCGCACGCAAGAAATCAGAAAAAAATGAGCGTGATCGACCAACACCGAAGACTTGGGATCGAAACAAACCCACCGACCACAAACGAATCAAGATCAAGACAAAACCTTAGCACCTTAGCAGCATCCATGGGTTACACCAAAAAAGATCGAGCGAAAGGACAGGATCGGAGAGGAGAAGGACCGGGAAGATCCAACCTCGATGGCCGCCACAACCAAGAACGAGAGGAAGAAGAGGAGAGGGGGCGATGGAGAAGACGAACCGATTTGGTTGCTCTTCTTTTTGCTTTGGCCTTCCGCGCTCGAGGATGAGCAGTTAGATAATTAATGTTGCAAATAAAATGGAACCGCCTTCGCATCGTGCCGTCGCAAAACGCAAACACCAAAATCGTTGATCTCGCCAAATAATGATTCGACCAAACCCGAACCAATGTCCAACGTGGAACCAAACCACATTGATCGTGGCCCCACGACTTTTGGGTCGTGCCAAGCCTCGATTCCACGTGTATGGCAACGATATATGGCTCAATAATGCTGTTGGGTGAACTCTTCCGCTAAAGATCTGGATTGATACGGTAGTTGCGACTAGGATTCCTCACAAACCACACACGTTATAAGAACATTATATATGCATATATATGTCCTTATTCTCATGTGTTAGCCTTCATCCTTAATCCAAGTTCAAGTGGCACAGCGCATTGTTACCCTAAATCCAGATCATGAAACAACACTCTATATATATATATATATCCTACAAGAGAGGAACAAGGAAAAATCAGATTGGTTGGATAGCAGGCATTCGTCATGTATGTATAAAAGTTGCCAGATCCAGAGGGAATTCTACGAAACTTTGATACATCAAAGTAATAAATGGTTCATTTATTCTGCATCCCATCAACCAGTAGGATGAGAGGTTCCATAAGAACACTGAAACTAGTGCTGATGAAATTAAATTGACCGACTTCGATGGAAATTTCTAAGGTTGCAAGGAGAGCTTGCAGGGCATGATTTAGTCTCGATACTTCTCGGCAACAGCTTCCTTGAACTCCTGGCCAGGCAACGCTGGTGGGGGAGGCGAAGGGGCTGCAGGTTCAGACGATGGCTGAGACGATTCCACCGCAGTCTTCTTCTCGCCAACCTCCATTGGAGGAGCTTCAGAGATGGAGAAGCTCTCTGGCAGAACAAAGACACTCTGTGACGCCCTCCTCTGGTGACGACTAGGCCTACAAGACATCCTCTCCGGACACAGATGAGCGCAGGGAGAGTGGATCGATGAGGCAGAGGAGAAGGAAGAGAAGGGAAGGGAACAGGGGAGCAGAGAAATCAAAGCGGCTTTATTGTGGTAATGATGCAACAGGGAGAGGCCAGAGGGGCTCGAACATATAGAAGAACATGGGGATCTGACATGTTCTGAATTTACAAGAATGCCCTGCATATGAATGGAAATAATTTATGAGAGAATATGGGATCTAATGTGGTCTGAAATTACCTGAATGCCCTGAACATGAAAGGAGATATCCATGGGTTATGTACTTGGTCCAATCCAAAACAAGACTGCACATGGTTGAACCACATTTGAAAGCTGGGCTAATGCTAATATAAAGTCAAATCTAGCCATCTACTCTGAGACTGTAGATCCAAAGTTTAAGATGGAGATTGCAGATGAACTAAAAATTAATTTAGGCAATATGGATAAGTGGCAGGGTGATGTCTGTATCCCAAGGGAATGATTTATTGAACTCAACCTCACTGGAGAAAGTACAACTAGAAAATGGTAAGAAAAGAGAGACAGCCTTATCCTTTTGATGTCAGGTCCAAGTGACCTGTGGCATAGAAGAGACCTTGTACATATGCCTTGAGGTTTAAATGGTCCTTGCATTTCTAAAGCACTGTGGAGTAGATATTTGCCACAAAACTCAAAAACAAAGACTCCAAGGATGGACATCAACAGAATTTTTCCAAAGGCTATGCTCAGATTAACAAGTTATTTATTTATATGCAGTTCCTATTCAATTACACCTTTAAATGGAACCATACAGTTCTCATGTTTGTGACTACTAACTGGAATGAACTTACCATTGATGGGATCTGATCTCCATCTTTGTATGAACATCCCTGGCAATCAAATTTGTTTATGTTTTAGCATGGAACTAAGGCTTTCAAGAAAAGAACAGTACATCTTGTCAACTCAACGATATTCTAATAGCAAGCATGTTCATTAAAACCAATAAATAAACTACCATCTACAAGTAACTTTAAGTCTGCAATCAAACATGACCAGATCTAGAACTTCATTAAATAATAAGAAAAGAGAACCATATAACTTAAAGAACTTCATACTATCATCAAGGAAGAGCTAGATGTTTGGTGCTAGGAAGAACATATGCAGTGAAAACATTCATAGGACCTTTCCGATATAGGAGTTAAACCCAAGACTTGATCTAAGTAGCTTTCGCCTTCAGGTACATGGATAAAAAAGAGTTAATAAATTTTCATATGTTTATGCTTCAGTATAATAATAAAATCTGTGTAAGATTTGTGCAATATCTAGTTGATTCATCAATCAGAAATCAAACAACTTCTTGAGTATAGGGCTTCTAGAAAATCTTATCTAGAGACAGCATGGAAAGATTCTTATATGGCAGCTTGGTGGTGACCCTCATGAACGAAAGCTTTGCTCAAGTCCCAGTTGCAAATTCATAATCACCAGAAAAATACCTGATTAGAGGTCAAATTTAAATAAGCTTTAGATGTCTGCTTCACAAGACACCCTCATTCTTAATGCCAAGACAATTTTTTTGCAGAAGTACTACCATAGAATGAATCTCAAATATTTGGCAGTTCATTGCAGGGCCTTAACATAAAATGGAACAGCAAATGCTGCAGGAAGAAGGTACCACGAGAGGCATAAAAACAAGAGGAAGAGATTATACTTAGATAATTTTTATAAGCCACCATTCAGCAGAACCATTTTACTGATTAAAGGAAAAATCCTAAAAAGGAGTTACTCTGTAAGCAACTGGAAACCACTGGAGAAAATTATGTTTTGTCCTCCTGTGACCCAGACTTGGCATATTCCACAAATATCAGCCTCCCACCATATATCTGTCAAAATCATATGTATATGTGTTAGAAATACATTGGAACACTTAAAAATACATTGTCTTTCTGTCAGTTAATGTGCATGCCATTTCTATATAGTTGCAGAATCAAGATACCACTATCTAATCTAGAACAGTACTTCATTAAACTTTCAATTTTTTAAGAAATATAACAAATTTGCCAACTCAAAGCACCTCAATTATGAATTTAACAAAGAAAAACATAAATAATATAAAAAAAAAATACTCATATAAAGAGTGGCGGCCCAATGTGCAATGCTCATGCCAAAATGAGACCTAGAAGGATAAAAAACCTAGTCTTAGACTTACAAGTGAGTAGATGATTTCACGGTTCAAACCCTTAAAACCAAAGTGCAATAGAGCAACCTCGCCATAGTGTCAAAGCTCGCCCTCTACCATGGCAACACGGCTCACTCTTTGCCTCTTACCTGCCTAACAGCATAGGCAGATGAGACAATGTGAAAAACAAGTTATTTTGCTAAATTTGATGCTTACTATATCAAATCACCTTTAAAGTTCCTGCTTAACTGTTCACTAAGCAATATGTGATCATCATTTTTACATGAAATTACTTTTAACAATGGGGGACTGATGTAAAAACAAACAACACAGTTTTCCTCTACAACATTACAGCAATTAATAATTTTTACTGAATAAGTTCTGGATGCAGAGGGAAAACTCCTATTCAATGTTTGGAATAAACTGTTCTTGATTCTACTTAAAGTCCCATGTCCATTCTTCAAATTGGGAAGCCTACGTCACCTCAAGTTCTGGCATTAGTTAGATGGCAGAGTGTTTCAAACCAATTTTACTTAACCCGAATGCAGATGGGTCAAGTTAGCCAGGACCAAGGTCAAAGCAATATATAGTTACATCTGGGTATGGTGGCTCTCCATCCATAGCCCTTCGACAAACCCAATCATCTCACGTATAACTGGATTAAACACAAGAATAAGCATGCTAAGCAACTTAATAATCACAATCAGTAAGATCATAGATCCAAATCTAACTTTACAAAACTCATGGATTGGATTTGGGAACTCAGTTACTTCATGAACTCACATGCGATACAGGATACAGTCACAAACTAAATTCCCTTAGCTATCAAAGACAAGTTGTCACTGATTGCGCAATTATCAGTCAATCTATCTCTAGCCAGAAGATCCTAGAAATATTCAATGAATAATTACATTGGGTATTTTTAAGACTATGAACAGTTCCAATGATGGTTATCTCATCCATAAGATAAAGAATTCTCTGTCTAGAAAAAATGTTAACCACCATGTTGAAGCATATCTATAGTTGTCATTTGGACACTGTTTGTAACTTCCTTTGGGAACACTATGAAAATTTATACTCCTTCAATGTGATCACATCAGATGTGATATATAATCATAATTTTCAGGAGAGATGATATTGATCAATTTACTTGATACACTTGTGATAACTATTCAGAATATGTCAGCCCTGTTCTATGGTGAAGCCAACTTCATGTTCTGTTACAAGCAAAACAACCTCCAGATAAGGTTTTGCATACAAATATGATCCATTTACTTGTCATGCCGAGTCCAAGTTTGAGTCACCATCTGATTAGGCAAGTAATTGATGTGTTTTCCAACTAATTTCGTGACATGGAAAGGACATAAGCATAGCTTCACCGAAGTTCAACAAGTGATTTATGCTTGCTTGCAGACTTTCCAATGAACTAAAACCATGGTTGACCTTGAGGGCAAATCTGCTTAATTATGATAATAATATGAGTTAGAAGAAAGACATTAGGGACTGTCTGAATGTTCAATTATTGGTTCAAAATTTTATCATCAATTGTTATGATTGGAAGAATTTAATGCTAGGAACAAAATTGCCATAATTTCAAGCAGCAACTGCTCGTCTGCTTGACTCCATAAACTCATGTATTAGTGTGCACTTGTAACGAGGTTTGTAGGCATTGACAACCCAAGCTGAGAATCTCAATTCAGTTGGGAATTACCTAGTTCCTGCCAAATTCTGTGTCTTCTTCCAACATAAAGGATGTACCATCTACAGATTTGAGAAGAAGAACAGCAACCTGATATCCAGGGTCTCACAGTTCTAGGAGGACAAAGTAGTAGTCAACCTCAATTGCATCTTAATGGTGGAGGCATATGCTTGACCTCAAAAGTTCCTCATCCTGCAGTTGCTAAAGCAATATTCGGCTCAGCCTCCGCAGACAAAAGATAAAGCATCGGTTTTAAATATGACTCAGGCATACTCCATTTTATCATCTAGGAGGAAGGCAACAAGTTCAAAACTACACCGGAACTTGCAAATCAAAATACTTGAATGTGTAAAAGGTGACAATTGAAAAAAAAAAAGGAAAACTAACTGCAAAACATTGCAAGACAACATGATCAATGCAAATTTCAAAAAGCATAAAAGCTCTAGTTGAGTTTATAAATAGTTTGTCTGTTATTCTTCACATCACTGATTTTCTAAAAGAAAAAGTAATTGAGACACGTACCCTTCCATCCATAGATTTTATTGCCTTCTCTGCTTCAGCATCAGATGCATAAGTCACAAAGCCAAAGCCTTTAGGTCTATTAGTTCTTGCGTCCCTGATAAGCCTAGCTGCCCCATGCCAAAAAGAAAAAAAAGAAAGCACCAAAAACAACGACAGAATTAGACATCAAACACAATCAAGGCACTGCAATAACTGATTTGAGACAAGATGATCCAGAAAGCAATTAATTTGGCGAGTACTAATCAAATTAGAATCAAAATTTTCAATATAGTACAAGAAAGATTACAGTCACCGACAAAAATACCTTCCTCCACACGGCCAAACCGCGAGAACATGTTTTCGAAATCCTCATCGCTTGTGTAATATGATAGTCCTGATAATACAAATATAAAGCGCCCAAGCATTAGTAGCGTGATTGCTGGATTGGGGACCAGCGACCATACCAATGATGTTATTAGAACAACAGATAAATCAATTCACTGGACACGGATCACAATATCATGACCAAAACTGCAAATAATCAAAGAAAAGAACCACTTCGAAAACGAAAAGACAAAACCAAAGAAGCTTTTTGTCCCAAGACCAACGAAGCTATTAGCATTAGCAAGTGCCTGGGTTGCAAGAGTAACGCAAGAAACGAAGACATACTGCTGACGTATATCGTGGAGCTGAAATCCCGACGAAAGCACAACCCTCTCTCGGGAAGGATGAATCTCCTCCAGATTGCTGTACTCCACATGACTCTCGCTGCCTGCTACTTCATATTCTCCATCGTCTATTCCATCTGACAAAGCGAACCCTAACAGAACCCTTTTGACGCCCGGGACGCTTACTCAGCCTCAGAGACACAGCAACTAGTTAACGGGTCGGATTTGAACAACATTATAGATCCGATCAGGTTGGGTCCGGGAATGTGTTGGAATTTGCACGATCACAACCGTACGCGTGTATAAAATAATGACTTCGTCTTTCTAATAATTAAGTGGGTTTAATTAAGCATGTAAACGCAAGTTTCGGAGTCGTTGCTTATTGGGAATTTTTCTGTTGCGTTCGGAAAATGAAAGAGATGAGGACGACAAGGTAGTGCCCTTCAAATTGGGGTTTCTCGACACGGAGGAGTATTGTGGGAACGGATTAGACGGGAGGGGAAGAGAAGGCGTTTTCGATCATATCCTTCGCGAAGAAAGGTCCGCAATACCATATATTGCCGATTACTTTTCTTCTCTTTGCCGGCGTCTGTTTGTTGAAAGATTGTCGTGATTTCTCGATTATTAATTGTGAATTTTGGTTGGAGTTGTGATTGTTTTGGAGCAGTTTGGATTTCTCCCAATTCCTTTGGTCAATATCATCCTCTTCTCGCCGCATCGGATTTGTCGCCGTCGAGATTGAGGCGTATTACTGGGTTTGGGTTCCTACCAAGTGCTACACTACGAACGTCATCCTCTTATTTGGCATGTCGAATTTGTCTTGGTTGAGATCTAGGGTTCATCCAACATAAATGGGGAGGGGATTCATAAAAATTATCGTGCTGGGGTTGTAAGTGTTGATGGATAATCTCGAGAAATATTCGATGAAGATGAAAATTTATGGAAGATTGTTTTCTGACGATTCTGGGGGATGAGAGAGAGGAACATTGTTGGAAGTTCATAAATGTGTAATGGAAAAAACATGATGTTCTGTAGATGTCCAGATTTAACAATGTACATATTTGGGGATACCAGTATGTCTTCAGCGGGGAACATGTTGAGTCGGAGTAGGCCTGGATTATTTGGACATGATCGCATGTTTCCAGTCCGGAGTCTTATTCCTCACCCAATTGATGGTCTGACTCTTATCTAGAATGATGGATCTGAGTATTCTTTGACTCTTATCTGGAATGATGGATCCGAGTATTCTTTGACTCTTATCTAGAATGTTCGATCGCAGTTTTACTTATTAATATCCACCAATTTTTACATGGGAGTCATGGTTCACTCATTTTGATCCGTCTTCCCTGACATTCTTTATCATGATCAGGTTATTATTCAGTATCCTGGATTGATAGAATATATTTGAAATATTACTCTCGCTTGCCTTTGTAACTAGGAAGATTTCTTTAAGTTTCAACATCATCATTTTCATGAGCTCACTGAATTGATTATGTTATCTCTATGCAGTATCTTTGGCCTCTATGCAATATTTTTTGCTTTGACAATATCAGTCTTGATATTATCATTTTCCTAGTAAATTAGATGCCAGATTTCATTGGTGTCTTCTGTTATTTCATGGGCTTCATCTTGAGAATTTCTTAGTCCTAATATTATGCTTTATATTACAACAGAAGCTACAGATTAGATTTCTTGATATCTTACGGTGGAGATTATGTATGTAGATTCTGTCAGTAGCAATGGCAACTTCTTTAGATCAATGGACGAGGGAGCTCAATGAAGCTTCAAAACTTGCAGAGGATATTAGTGTGATGATATCTGAAAGGGGATCTTTGCCTCCGTCAGGCCCAGATACCCAACGCCATTTAACTGCAATGAGGAGGAAGATAACAATTCTCCGGACCAGATTGGAGAGCTTGGAGTCTATTCTTTCGAAGCTTCCGAGTTTGCAACCAATGTATGTGTTTTTTAATTCCTTCAATTTTTCATTATTCAATACTTTTACGCTTTCTTTTGCCTGTAATTTCAGTTTTTCATTATTTTAGGATGGGTTTACTAGTAGTTCTAGGGTCAAGTTATTTGGAGTCTTGACTTGTTCTATCTAATGAGGGGGATACAGTAGAGTATTTTTTGACTAAATTAACTCTTCGCACTAAATTAGGCTGAGAGGTGAAAATGCTTTGTTGTTACTGCTATGAGAAAGATAAGAGAAAAAGAAGGAAAAGGAAAGATAGGAATCACAAGGGAGAAGAGGATAAAAGCAGAAAAGAACAAAAAGACAAGAGGTCTATGTCCTGTCAGTACTGTATTTCCAGAAGCAAAACTCTGTCTATTATTGTTTGTTTGGGAGAAACTACCCTCATAGATAGCTCTCTAACAGGATCACTTTTAGTCAACCTGGGATTCTAAATGGAAGAAAAATAAACAGATTTAATGGCAATTGGTGAATCTCTTATGGACACAATGCACGGTGGGGAATTTCAGTTCTTCCAGACTCTTTTGACTGTTGAAAAATCAAAAATCTTGTTCTAGCTGTTCTGGTGAATCCTTTATCTGGGAACAGCCAACCCTGAAAATGTTGGTTACGCATTGGGACCTTGTTGTTGACACACAATGGTTTGGGTGATATCTTGAATATGCCCTTTTCAGATTTTAACTTTCAAGAATGCAGCAAAGTGAGTTAGCAAATGCAAATAGAAAGTTCACAAAAATTGTTTCTTTTGTGGAAAGGGGGATATATTGATGGTTTGGATGAGATATTGGAGGTAACTCAAAGAAACTAAGTATATGTACAAAAGAAACATGATATACAATATCCCAATCTGATTAGTCCAACATTAACTATGGGTTAGTGTCGACTGGTATATGAGTTACCACATGTGATACCAAACTAGCAAATTACATGTGATGTGTATCCCAGCAAATCTCTATTCTAATAGAGACACGCCTATAATATGGTGCCAGTGATGTGATGAACCATAGTCCCTCTGGACCTCACATCACCTGTAAAGATCTATGTGATATGTCTGATGATCTATCTGACGAGAACATGAGGATTTTAAGTGGTTAAGATTGTGCTCGATCTTTTTGGTTTGGAAAAGCCTTAATCTGGTGCCTTAGACCAACTCGGCAATCTCAGCTGATGATCGTGCCCGATTTGGTTAGCTTCATTTCAATTATATGAGTCACAACTCACCTTTGTCTTGTGAGTACCTCTTTTTGAAGGCATAACAACCTACCTGGTTCGGCTGGGTTCGTGATGCAAGAAATTGTGTGCTAAAATAGTTTTCTTTTCTTTAATAGGAAACCAAAATGCAATTCTTTCCAGTTTCCTCCTATTTTGACTTCTTTTTAAGTAGCAGTTGCCTCTCCCCGTCTTCCATCTCACTTTTCTTTTTCTGTAACAGTTGAACTTTCTCTGCTGTCTAGTCCAGGCCATCACATCATAGCAACTCATCTGTTTCATTTTTGTCTACCACATACTTGTTCACCTCTAGAACAGCCCTCACATTAGAGTGAATATTCTTAAAAGTGCAGTGTCGTATCTTCCAGTGTGATCCTATCTCCAAGAGTGTACATGAGAGATTGTGATGAATGTCTAAAGAGGTGGCAAAAAGTAAATTAAGCTCATCTTTAGACATCTCGATGAATAATCAAGGTGTTTAGGAACTTAAGCTCTTGAGCCTCTGCCTGATAATCCTTCAGAACTGCTTCTTTCTTTCTTGAATGACAATGTAAGAAGATTATTTTACTTGGAAGGTGTCTGGGAAGCAAAAACAACTGTATGATAGGAAGAGTTGGATTTTCATGGATGAGTTGTTTAGAAAACTTTATTTAAATAGGTTGAGCATGTCTCATGAGTAAAGATAGAGCTTGAAGCTATAATACCTGTATTGATATATATTACAAATATGCTGTCGTTGTGGCTGAAAACTAAAATTCTTGACACTCGGAGGAAACCAATCAAGCTCCAACTGAGTGTCGGCCATTTCCTTTGACCCCAAAAATTGTTGATCTGAATCTGGATCTCATGATTCCACAGGCTACTGAAAGTACATCAATGAAGACTTTTTGATGAACTTTATCCTGAAAATATTATGCTATCATCAGTGGAAAGCTATGAGTACTAGAGGTGGTTGATTTAGTGTATTCTTTTTTCTTTTTTTTTTATAGAAGAGTAACGTCGTTGCAGCATTGAAAATTTTGTAGGCTCAGTGGAAAAGTTCATAGGTTCATCATTACAATGTTTTTTATTCTCCATATACTGCTGGTATAAATTTATTCATAATTATTATGAGTTCATATTTTTCATTTAACTAGTCTCTAATTTATGAGACATTCTACCACCATTTTGTGTTAGGTAGCATAAGGTGACAGTTTTTTCTCATGTACAGACAGAGCACTTGTAATTGTGATATCAATCTATCATTTTACATTAGGAAAATGATAAATAATCAATTTTTCATCTTTTATAAACTTCTTCTTAATGTAGAAAGGATAAGGAGTTAAATAAGCGTCAAGAAATGCTAGCAAATCTGAAATCTAAAGCGGACCAGATGGCATCTGAGTTAAATATGTCAAACTTCAGCAACAGGTTTGCCTTCAGTCCTTTCTAGTGGTATTTATTTATCTTTTAGTTTCTATCATATTCTAGTTTGCCAAAGTGTAAGGCATTTCAGTCTTTCTGATGTGAATCAAGTTGGTGTCTCATCTTTTGCATGTGTGGCTTATTGGTGGACTTTTGTTATCATGGTAGCTCACTAGTTAGTCATCAAGTTAACTATCCATTTAAACATAGGAAGGACTTGTTTGGAGATGGTAAAAAGTCAGCTGATGTGGTAAGCAGAACTGCTGGGTTGGATAATCAAGGTATCGTTGGTTTACAAAGGCAAATTATGAGAGGTATGCTCTGATAATTTTTGTTCCTGTCTTCAATAGTTTGTTTTCTATTTGACCTATATCTATTTATTGGTTCTGTAGAACAAGACGAGGGCCTTGAAAAGTTGGAGGAGACTGTGTTAAGTACAAAACATATTGCACTAGCAGTTAATGAAGAATTGGATCTGCATACAAGATTAATTGTATGTAACATCATGATCGAGTTCTTTCTAATGTCAATTTTTTTCAGAACTTTAGCAGTCACTAGTAACTGTGTTTTTGGGCTGATGCAGGATGATCTCGATGAACATGTTGACATAACTGACACGCGGCTACAGGTATTATCATTCTTTCTTTTCATTAGCTTATTTGACCTCAATGAGTCTAATGGCACTACCATCTCACCCAAACGTAGTACTTATTTCCTTTTGCTTCTTTTGTTCCCTTTTGAACAAAACTTCATATTGTAAATACATAAAACCATAATAGCCATAGGAGAAATGGATACTGGTATATGTCTTAAGGAAACAATGCGATCCATCTAGTTTTCAAAATCTAGACTTTTTGAGGTTATACTTTGTTTGGATCCTGCTTTAGACTGAACTCTTTACCATGTAAAGGTTTTTTTTTTTGAAGAAACATAGGTTAGATTTTTGATGTAAAAGTGCCAGTATCTGACTGAGCAACTGTAATTATGAAATAGACATTGCTTCTCATTTGTTGACTTCATGCAGAGAGTGCAAAAGAGGCTGGCAATCCTAAGCAAGCGCACAAAAGGTGGTTGTTCGTGCATGTGTCTGCTCCTTTCTGTAGTAGCAATTGTGATTCTGATCGTGATAGCATGGGTTCTCATCAAGTACTTGTAGAAAGGGCACCAAGTATCTAATATGCCATTTATATGGATCTGCATGATGCTAGTCTTGCGTGTTTATATCCTGAGATTTCACTTGGTATTCCTGGGAGAATGGCAAAATAATATCCGCACTTTTTTGCTTGATATAATATAGAAATATCTCTTAATTTGTTGTGTTTGCATTCTGCCTCCTCGTGACATGTTTGCTTCCAGCAACAATGCTGGAATTTGCATTATGGCACATGGCTGGCTTCCGCTGGAAGAGTCGGAGGGCAATCCATAGCAATTTGGAGGAGACGCCAGCCTTCACAGGTGATGGGGAATGTGTTATATATATATATATATATATATATATATATATATATATATATATATATGTCCTACCGTGTTATGCTCATGTTTTGGTTGGACTATATGTATCATTGTGAAATCTAAAGAAGTCTTGCACTAGCTATCAACTATATATGAGTGAATTTTTGAACAAAAATTAATTTTGAAAATTTTTAAGATAGTGTCTCAACTTTTAAAAATTTTCACAGAATATTTTTTAAAATGATTATTCTGTCTCCATTTACCATTGTCTTTTGCTCCGTCTCTAGTCATGCTTATATTGCGTTGATATTCTCTTTCACTAAATGTCCAACAATAGAGGCACAACAACTCTTGCTAGACTAGCGAGGAGGTTGTGGGTCATCCCCCTCCCTTCTTGCGCCTGACTGATGACAATGACAAGGGGGTGGGGGATGGGAGGGTTAGTAAGGGCGTGTTCTCTTCTTCATCGATAGTCGATGGTGAGAAAGGGGCATGAGGAGATTGTGCAACCCCTTTATCGTCAGGTTACAGGGGAAAGTAAGTCACCCCCTCTTTCCTTTCATATATATATATATGTATATATATACACGAACGTACGTACGTAAATACATCTACAACGCGGTGCGGCGGTTCCGTCTACCATTTCCTCCTCCGAAACCCCACACAACGGCCGACCCCACGGCCACAGAGGCGCAAACAAGTCTCTTCAATTCCATATCTCCACCACCCGATACGTCAAACCCTTCTGCGTCCTCCTCCTCTAGTTGAGGAATCTTATAAGCTGTTCTCTTTTGATCACCACTTGCTTTCCTCGATCGTTCGCCTCCGGCGGTTGGACCTTTGGGGAGGGGGAAGGGGGGATTCTTAACCACCCCTCGATCCGTCTATATTTTCCTTCGTACCTTGGGTGTTCGTCGCGATTGCGATGGCTGCTCCACCTGCAAGGGCTCGGGTCGACTACGATTACCTCATCAAACTTCTCCTGATCGGCGACAGCGGTAACGGTTTCCGTTCCCCTCTCGTTCCAATGGATTCAGTGGCTTGCTTGTATGTTTCCTTTGATTTGCTTTTCATCTGAAAGTTTCGGGTCTTCCCTTCCCCTGTTTGGGTGAGATCTTTGTGCGTTCTTGATTCAAGGAGTATGTGGCTCGATCAGTCAATGTGGTTGGGATGGATCAGCATAAAAGCATGGATTTTCTTGGGCTCTGTCTATGGGGGGATCACAGTTCGGGTGTTGGTTTGAGATAGGGAATCCGTTTGGGTTTGTCGAGTAAGATATGGGAGCTCGATCTCGTTGGATCTTACACTTCTGATTAACATATTGGATTTCTTTAGGCATGGTATCCAAAGTCGATCATTCGATGGTGCTTCATGCTAGATTCCAATGCTCTTTCTTTGCTCCCAATATTACTTGTAAACGAACAACCCAATTATTTATTTTCTTTTTCTCTGGGAGAACGCTTCGACATGAAGCTTGTTGTCTAGGCAGCGCATTCTTTTCTTCTATTCTATTGTGTATAAGATTAATCTGTTAGGAAAGGCTTGAATGTTTTCTTTTTGCATTTTTCATGTTACGGATTGAGTGTTGTGCATGGTCTAGTCAGCTCATTTGGAGTATTTTTTATTCCCTCAGTTAAATTTTAGCTGTGCATACTGTGTATGTTGTTGTCCTTCTCGATCAGAATTTATCAGGTTCTTAAATCTGCTTGATTAGATAAATCTTTCGGATGAGATTTCATTGTTTGGTTGGTTGGGATATTATGAATATGCAAGTCATAGGACTTAGTTGGGAACCTGGTTACACATGAATGATGCTGGAGAGATGTGATCATAATCTTTAGAAGTTTTTATTTGATTAAGGAAACTTGATAGATACTCTAACTTGAGGGCAGAAATTTGATCCGAAATGGTAAATTTTGTATGGATGTGTTAAATTTAGTAAAAATGAGAGTAACCATGGTTATTTTGCTAAATGAGTTTTATGTTGTTCTTTTATTAGCTTCGTTTATGGCTCCGAAGTGGATGTTCTGGGCTCTAGTTAAGCTGCTATGACTCATGTTGGTTCAATTTAAGATACATAAAGTAGAAGTCACTTTCTTATCTATTTCTTTCCTTTCTTTTTCTTAACTTTATTCTAAAAGTTTGAATCATAATTTAGATTTTTAGCTGTCCAGAAGTTTGTAATTTCTTTTAGTTTACATTTTCCTGGTATTTGTCTCAAGGTCATTTGATCTCTAACCCAGATTCATAAGAAATTTGTATGATTTAATCGAAGGTCTAGCCTAGCTGGTAAAGGCTTTGATAGCTTATCATAAGGTCTTGGGCTCGAATCCTGCCTTCGTCATTTACCCTTTGTGAAAAATATATATATAATCCTTCTATCCTTGGCTTGGTAAGAAAGGATCCTTTTGTATCCATCTTTGTTTTTTCTCTTTTTTGGCTTGAGTAGTTTCTTGTCATAAAATTGTTTGTTCTTGAGCCAAGATCTATTATCATCCTCCATAAAGAATTGAGCTCTAACTTGTTTGGACTTTCTAAACTTGGTTTACAAGTGATCACAGTGATGGAGTAATGTAGATTCAGTTTATATCTTTGCACTGTATCTAAATCCATTAAGAAAGTCATTGTATCTATCATTGCTCTGAATGCTCCATTGTTTATAGATAAGAAATTTGAACATTTTAGTCAAATTTTCCTTACATGATGATCCCTCTTTTGAATCTATACGAGGGTTCATTGTTTTGATGAGCCTTTTTCTGCAGGTGTTGGGAAGAGTTGTCTCCTTTTGCGTTTCTCTGATGGCTCGTTTACGACAAGTTTCATTACTACTATCGGGTGTGTTATGTTTCAGGCACTGCTAGATTCGTTTTTTCTTTTTTCCTTTCAACTTATGAGTGTTTTGATGCTGCCTAATATCCATAATATTCTAGTTCTGATTGCAATTTTCTGGTGTTTACACAGTATTGATTTTAAGATAAGAACTATTGAGCTGGATGGCAAGCGAATTAAACTTCAAATTTGGGATACTGCTGGTCAGGAGCGCTTTCGAACTATAACAACCGGTAGTTCTTTCTCCCTCCTGAAGTTGGTCTGTTACTAGGTGCATCTCTTACATATTATAGTTTTCCAAATGTTTTCTGGATCAACTTCTTCTAATTTTGTTCCCTTGCAGCTTACTATAGAGGTGCCATGGGAATTTTGCTTGTTTATGATGTCACTGACGAGTCGTCCTTTAACAGTAATCACCTTTTGTGCTTGTTATTTCCGTAGCATAGTTTCGGTGTAATTTTCTTTCTGATTCCGGTAGTGCATGGTTTTCGCAATGGACAGACATAAGGAATTGGATCTGCAACATCGAACAACATGCTTCTGATAATGTCAACAAGATTCTTGTTGGTAACAAGGCTGACATGGATGAAAGCAAACGGGTTTGTGTTCTCCTAGTCCATTTCAGCTTGTTGGCTTACGACTCATCTTTTCCGGTTCATACATGCACACAAGATTCTGCCAAAGAGGATGTTTAAACTGTGATTCACAGGCTGTGCCGACTGCAAAGGGACAAGCACTGGCTGATGAATATGGAATCAAGTTTTTTGAAACAGTAAGCAGTAATATGTTATGCATTCATTTTCTACTTTTATGCTCTCATGGTAGTTTATGGTAAATTTTGCATGCTGCAGAGTGCAAAGACAAACCTAAATGTGGAGCAGGTCTTTTTTTCGATAGCTAGAGACATCAAGCAAAGACTTGCAGAAACTGATACCAAAGCTGAGGTAGAAAGTTTATCGAATAACAAATTACTCCGTGTATGGAAGCTTAATCAGTTGGTTTGAGTGCAGGATCGGACGATCAAGATTAACAAACCGGACCAGGCAGCTGCCGAGGGTACCGCAGCAGCGAAATCAGCATGCTGTGGGTCTTGAGAAAGCGATCGGAGAGGTGGTGGATGGATTGGATGTATCATCTGGGAACTAATTTGCTTATGGTACTTCACTGATGCTACGAATATAATGAACATATGGTGGGTGATTGTAATTTTAATCCTCCCATGTGTTTTTCATACGTTGGTTCTTAGACTGGCGAAGTAATCTGACATTTATTTCCTTTTGGGATTGGAACTCCTTACATTGCATGCCATATGTTCTTATGACGACAGTAATTTGGGTTCTACCAGAACGGGGGATGTAATTATATTGTTCGTCTTTGGCAGCTCATACATTCTACTAGTGTTGTTGTGTGTAAGTTGGGATCTTAGTTTCTTGTTGGACCAAACAAAAATTATTTGCAGCAGGGCAGCATGATAGATCCTATACATACACAGTCCGGAAAATGGAACTAAAACTAAAAATTCTAGAATACATCAGTGTGAGCGATCAACCATGGGAATATTGTCTACGATCTACAACCTTGGTACAAGCTCGAGATCCTTCTCCAATGGCCCTGTGCCGTCTCATATGCCCTCCTAAGGGCATATGGACAGGGCCGTCTCATATGCCCTCCTAAGGGCATATGGAGCACTGTGGAGCTTCGGCTTCGCAGCAGCACCGCCTTGCGGTCGGCCATGGTCATTGCCAGCCGCCCTCAGCTTCTTGTGGCTTGCTCGGTGGCCTCCGAGCGCTTGGAAGGAAGGGAACCGCCGGCTGCACGTTTTGCACTCGAACACTCGTCCCGCCGACGACTTCTCGCTCTCCCCTACGCCGCCTCCAGCGCCTCCTCGAGACAGAAGCATTAGAATATCGACCAATCTAATCCTGTCCATCTCTTCTCCTTCTCCTCCAAATCTGTATCTTTTCATGTCTTAAGCTGAAGGGGAAGAACGAAACCTATACATGCGTATAG